AATCAATACCTGTGGGCCAGCCGGGACTGCGCACACGGGGTGCGTATTATCGCGGCCAATCACGCGTTATCACGCGCTGTGGCCGGCGGGCGGCGCGCTCACGGTCGTAACGGGGGTGCGCGCGCCCCCGGTATTACAAACAATAATTCGCTGGGGCCCTTTCCGCGGGGCCGTCGCGAGGTCTAGGGCGAACGGCTTGGCCGGAAGTATCGCGGCCACCCATCTTTTCGTCTTTTCCGGGGCCGTGTCACGCCATCGGGTGCAGGATTGCAGCCGTGACGCGAAAATCTACACTAAAGAATCGGGCTTAGCCCGTACACCAAAGTACGAATTCACGGCGACGACGACAGAACGAAACGATTCCGGGCGCGATCGCGAGTGGCGAATATGACGGAGGGTAACCTCACCGGTACCGTTCCTCTCGTGGTGGTTGCACGGGGTCAGCGACGTCGACGTCCTCTCCCTCGGGTCCGTCCTTCTCAGCTGCCGATCGCTGGGATCCTCTCCGCTCGCTCTCGTCTCGCTATCGCTCTCGTCTTTCAAGATCGCTTCTATCTCGCACGCAAGCTCACGCCAGTCTGATCCTGGATCGTCGCGATCCAAAATCGATACCTGTGGGCCAGCCGGGGCTGCGCACACGGGGTGCGTATTATCGCGACCAATCACGCGTTATCACGCGCTGTGGGCGGCGGGCGGCGCTCTCACGGTCGTATCGGAGGTGCGCGCGCCCCCGGTAATTCGAACAATAATTCGCTGGGGCCCTTTCCGCGGGGCCATCGCAAGGTCTAGGGCGAACGGCTTGGCCGGAAACATCGCTGAAATCCTTTCGATCGTCTTTTCCTGGGGCCGTGTCACGCCATCGGGAGCGTGGTTGCAGTCCCTCCGCGGGGACCGGATCCGCACGGGCCTGAGTCCTTGCGCGAGGATTTTCTCGCTGTCCCGTGCGTCGCGCATCACGCGTGCGGGTCCTGATCCCGTCGTGACGTAGCCAGACGTTAGATGCTTTGAATTCCCGGATTGCTGGCTCCTTGCCCCTCTAAGGTCGTCCTCGATTGCCGATTGTGTTTTCCGTGATGTTTCAGCGACTTTCCGCCCGGTCCTGCGATGAGGCTCCCAAATCAATTATTCATAGGAAAAGAAAATAACAAACGAAATTAATATTAAGCTCGGAATTTCAATTAATGACGCCTCTCTGGAGGTAACGGTACGGTTCTCGCAATTCTTCGACTGGCGCGGCATTTTAGCCCGCGCGTTTCGATCGGAGAGGGACTCGGCGGACGCGCGCGAGACGGCAACGTCACAATACAAATTACTAATATTTAATATATTTGTATTTATTAAGTAAATATAAGTATGTACATATGTGTATACAATATGTATATAGATATGTGTATAACTATATGTATTTATATATATCTACATATATAAGTATAGATATGTAAGTATGCGTATATAAGTACCTATAAATATATAAGTATAGATATGTAGATATGCGTAGATATATAAATATGTAAATCTGTATGTCCCTTCTTCTGAAACAAAAACAACTATTATTAGCGAACTAAATATACAGAGAAGAATTACAAATAAACGTATAAAGACAATCCTCACAATTATTGCATGGAAACCTTTTCGGGGCGATCCCGCGTTCCTTCTATAAACAGATGGCGATATGATTTTGTCGATCGCAGCATTTTCTTCGTGTTTCCTCGAACGAATTATCGAGAATCGCGCTTTCATCGAATGAGTCATCGATATATCACGCATAAACAACATAAAAAGCGACCGAAGAGAAGCTTTCTCGACGAACCATCGAGTATTGCGCGTCGCATAAATCATCGGTTCATCTGCAATAAACATATAAAAATAGAAAGCGATAAAGACGCTTTTTTGGAAAGAACCGCGCTTTTCCTCTAACCTAACCTAACCTTGAGGCCGGAAGACGAACCCTCATCCTCGAAGGCGAACCAGGGCGTGAAGTCACCGATCCTAAGAGCATCGAGGGGAAAGACGACGAGAATTCGGCCGGAGTTTCAAAAATCAGACTCGGATAGCGACTGGGAGCCGGCACGCAGAAGGAAGGTAGCAAAAAGTGCGGTAAAGAAACAGTAAAGCGCACGCCAGATAAACATTTAATAGGATAGAATATTGTAAGTCTAATTAGTGATAAGTTTTATTTCAGTTTGTGATAAACGCGTATTTATGTTTGTATTTAGGTTTTAGACAAGCGTAATTTTATAAAAAAGTACAAAGGTGCAGCATCCGAAGTGCTACACTTAAAGTGCAGTTCGTTTGCATTTTTCAGCAGAGACTATAGAAAACTGTAAATACCATATTTTTAATCACCTAGTATAAGTTTAGAGTATATTTTGCGAGGAAAACAAGATACGAGGGGGTTTTACTATTGCTACACCCGTAGTGTAGCACATGGTAAAGAAGCACGCGCTATAGCGCAGCGTGCGCGCGCATCGAGGAGGCGTTCTCCGGAAGAGAGGGAAGCCGGAGAGCGAGAGTAGGAAGAGTGGGAAGGCGTATAAAAGGCCGTGCAGAGCACGATACGGGGCCTTTTTTCCCGATTAGGAAGCGCTTAGAAAAACGTATTCACGGGTTTTTTATTTGTGTTTAAAGAAGATAGTCGCGAATACAACAAATCTCGTGCGGTGAGAGATTCGCGTCATTAGTAATAAAGAAGGCAGTTTTATATTATAACCGTAATATTGTACGGGAACTTTGATACACGCGACGTTATATTTTGAAATATATTTTATATACATTTATATATTCAAAATAAGAGTGAAAGTTATTAAATCACCTTGAAATCGCGAAATCCTTTCCTGTGTCCAAGTGTCGATCCAGCAGCGTACAGCGGGTAGTCCACACATCCATGGGCGTTGATCCAGTGAATCCAGCGGCGACCTGAAACATAAAAGGAGAAGGAATTAAGGATAATTCCTCAACAGCCAAGCGGAGAAGCAGTGGCGTACAAACCAGCGTGATCCTGACGCTGCGCAACCTGTCCGACGGCAGACCTGACGGGACGTCGTCCAAGGGCATCCCTTGTTCGTTGGAGGTAAAACGAACTGGCGACCGTTTAAATAAGGTAGGAAAACCTGCATTCATCGTAATTTTCTCCATCTCGTGTGTTTAGTCCGGTCACAACCTAACCTGACCTTGAAGCCGGGGACCAACCATGAGTGCCGGGGAACCCAGAAACCCGGGAACGTCGTCCAGGAGGACCAAAAAGCGCAAAGAGGACGAGGAACATCGAAGGAAGGAAGCGTGCGGATACAGGCCAAGCCCTTGCTTGGGCAAGACACGATCCAGTAAAAGGACAAATAAACTATTTAAACGAATAAGCCCGAACATTGCGCTAACCATGCGGCGAAAACGCATGGGTATAATGTACCGAATTTATAGATTAAGATTATTATACTGGCTAATTGTTCACACGCTGGAAACGATACATACAACGTATACGCTACTTCACTTGCACGAAATGTTGAGCGTAATATATAAGCGAAACACGAAAAATAGGCTAAGTAAATTATAAATATAAAAGCCACAGATGCTGACTACACCGAAAAGCGTAAAACTCTTACATTAAGAGTTTGCACTTTAAGTGCAGCACTTTACACTTTTATTGTAAATATAAAAATGTAATAAAAGCGTGCGCATAGTAGTTTAAGAAGCGATTAAACTAGGATTAAGCCTAATTATAAGTTTTAAACAGATTTGATATAGTAGTATTGTATGATATGATATCTCGTAATTTAAGTATTTATAAGATAGCGTAAAACTGTGTAAATAATTTTATTTTAATTAATTAGCAAATAATTAAGCGTTAGAAAGCGATATTTAGTGTTATAAAGCGGTTTAAGAAAATGTAAAGCGAAAAAATATATGCGCATGCGCGAATGTCGAGCCGCCGAGCGGCGGACAGAAGAAAAGATTAGCCGTGAGTGGGAAATTCCCAGAGTGGGAAACGGAGATATAAAGCCGTGCAGAGCAGCATTCGAGGCCTCTTTTCCCGAAACCGAGCATCCGAAGAAAAGAGATCTTGCGGGTTTTTTATATAGAGTTAAAGGAGATAGTCGCGAAGCAAAAATCTCTTGTGCGTGGAAGAGATTCGCGATAGCATAATAAAAAAGGCAGTTTGACTTTACTTTAAACTAAAACGGAAGCGCGATTATATCTCCGAGTTGTGGAGAGTCGCGAGAAAACTTCTGTGAACAGAAAAAAACGTTTTATATATTTATATAGTTTGATATTTAAATATATTTTATACTTTTATATATTAAAAGTAAAGTGAGAGTGATTTACTCACCTCGAAATCGCGAAATCCTTTTCCTGTGTCCGTGTGTCGATCCAGCTTCATCCAGAGGGTAGTCTAATGATCCATGGGCGTTGATCCGAGGCATCTAGTGGCGACCTGCAACAGAATTAAAGAGGAGTTAACAGCGAAAGAGGAAATTTGTTCAACTGTCTGACGTTGTACAAAAGGCGTCGTTCCGACGTATGCTTAAGGCGTCGAAACAGTTTTCATCCAGTGGGTAGTCCAAACATCCATGGGCGTTGATCCGGTGAATCCAGCGGCGACCTGAAACAGAAAAGAAATTAGGAATTACGAAAAATTCCCAAGCAGCCAAGCAGATACGCAGTGGCGAGAATAGCAGCGCGATCCTGACGCTGAGCAATCTGTCTGACGGCAGACCTGACAGGGCGTCGTCCGAGGGCAGTCCTTGTTTGTTGGATGGTCAAACAAACTGGCGACCGTTAAATGAGGTAGGAAAAACCTGTATTCTGTGTAAGATTCTCCATCTCGAATTGTTGTCCGGTCACAACCTAACCTAACTTGACCTTATTCCTCCCCTACCCCAAATTTGCGCAATAGAGACAAAAATAGACGTTTCGTCGAACATTTCTTATTACGTCCGATATTTCTCGATCGATCGTTTCCCGCGTCCCTCTCGACCCGCGCGATGTCCACCGCGAAGAAGACGATGACTGTTCTCATCCTAGCGATAACGCTCGTCGCCGCGACGACCGCGAAGCCCGTCGACTCGGAGAAGAGAGAGGCGCTCCGCTTCCTGCGCGCGTACGGTTTTCTGAAGGACAATGGAGGATCGTTGTCCGACAACGCGACGTCTCTGCGTCACGCGCTGTCGCTGTTTCAGGAATACTATCAATTATCAGGAAATGGTGCGTTAAACCCTGATACGCTTCGTCTTATGCGCAAACCGCGATGCGGTCTCGCGGACATTCCCGGTCGCGCGTATAGCCCGATCGCGCGAAAATGGCCGAAAACGCGTCTCACGTGGAACTTTCAAGTGGCTAGCGAAGAACTCTTAAAAACGGTCGAAGCGGCGTTCGCGTTATTATGGACGGTGAATTTGTCGTTAACGTTCGCGCGCGACCCGCTACATCCCGATATACTAATATCGTATCGAACGGGCGCGCACACCTACGCGAATCGTCTGAGCGGCGACATTTGCCCGGCGGTCTTCGACGGTTCGGGTGGAGCTCTCGCTCACGCGTTCTTTCCCTCGGGAGCGATCGACTTCGCGTCGGAGGTGCACATCGACGACGCGGAACCGTGGCACGTGTATCTGAACAAAAATCCTCCCGATACGTGTCATTTGCTACAAACGTTGACGCACGAGATGGGCCACACGCTAGGTCTACAGCACAGTATGCGTAACGACTCGGTAATGTTCCCGTATATACCCGACATCGAAAATCAATTTCCGGTTAAGCTGAGCATAGAGGACGTCCTCGCTATACAGAATCTGTACGGGTCTCACGACGATGGAAACTATCCAACGATTCCCACAACCACCATAGCACCCGCGACGACGACGAGCGTCGCGCCGACCGACCCCGCGCGCGCGGATCTCTGCGCGTTGCGGCGCATAGATGCGGCGTTAATAATGAATCGTCGCTTGTACATAGCTAATCGCCGCAACGTATGGTCGGTCGACATAACCGAGAGACGCTACGGTAGACCCATGAAGTTGACGGATTACGCGACGTTTCTTCCGGCGAATCTCACGCGCCTGTCCGCCGCGTATCGAAGACCATCGGGCGATCTCGCGCTATTCGTTAACGATTCGATCTATGTCGCGGAATATCCCAGTTTTAAGCTAAAACTTGGTTGGCCGAGATCTCTCCACGATATCGGACTTCCCCGAGACGCTAAGATCAACGCCGCGATAAACACGCATACGGGACGAACCTACGCGATCTACGACGACGA